GCGGCAACAGTTTTGAAGAGGAGATGACAGCATTCCCAAGGTATAATATAGTCTGTCGGGGGAGTTGTGATTTCAAAAACCGTCTGTAGTCAAGCCACTGTACATGTTAAACCCGCTGCTACTTTTCACTGACCGCCCATAACGAATCGCGCTTCTCTTACTAGTTCATTAACAGACCATCTTATTGGAAATGCGAGACTCATGAATTTTTACAACAGAGTGAAAAGGACGTTCTCCACTGTTTTGGAAATTGTTCCAAAAGCAACCATGTTCCCACACAAAGATACTAAAGCACTCATTAGTATTGCTGCAGACGCAGCCGATGCAGCAATCGGATCTTACCACAATGGCCTAAAAATACCTCGCAGTTTTACTATTCTCAGAGCGATTGTAAGACGATGAATTGAAATATGACGCTTTCAGTAGGGAACTCCTAGTCATGTATTATACAGTATAACACTTTCAACACTGTGTAGGACTCGTAGATTTTGTGATATTTGTGTCCAGATTGCTATATGCGCACTTATATATGCGACTGGATGACAGACGTAATCTAGTATTGTGGACTTACCATACTACGATTGCTCAACACAACAGTGTTCATACGGACTCGTCTTATAGTGTCTGTCACTAGTACACTTTATGCAAACCTTTGAAGAACGCGTTTTGGCAGGAGATAGAATAATATATCTCATAAAAAGAGCATGGAGTTACATAGTTACCACACCTGCCTGGCAAAGCCATTTAGTCTTGATCAAGTGTACCCACGTTCACATTTGCTGACCTCCTAGTTTTTATTGTTAAACGTAAGGCTTATCACTTATTGTATAGTCGGCGCCGATGTTCATGTAATTAGGGCCCAGTGTCACCGCACGTCCGCCCTCTTCACTGACCGCAAACCGCTTACCTTTCCCCTTAACGTGTCCTAATGCAAGTAGTCTCCTCGAGTGTCCGCATAACTAGACTATACCTGGCAGTTTATTTCTGACATAGAACATGTCTATGGGTCTAACAATGCAGTGACAGATGATTTTCTCGAATGAATTTCCTGAGCAATCTCCAGGGGATCGTCGTTCTCAATTTCGTCCAAAGTGCAAAAGTAGACACCTATAATCAATACAGGTTAACCTTGACAAACCTAAAACTATGAATCAAACAGGTGGTAACAAGTAAATAAAAGCCTTTCTATGTAACATATAGTGATGGGATCAATCGATCGTGCACACACTTCTGTTTAAGCTCCCGGAGATCTAAGATGATTGGACACAAGAAATATCTCTTACGATCTTTCTCAACTCCTGACGCTTGTTTCGATCAAGTTTATCTTGAGTTGATAGGGCAGAGATCCGAGCGAATACTCTTATCCCTCAACGTATCCGGACCATGCCACCCATTTATACTACCACGTTGAGATATGTTCATACATTTTCATTTTTGATTCTGCAGGACGAGTCACCTTGCTAAAGGTGTATAGACTAGAAAATCTGGCGCATCTGAAACCAAATCAGTCTAGACTACTCAAAGTCGTTTTCAAATCCCCAAACAGACGCGACTTAATCTTACAAAATGGACACAAATTAAAGGGTTCAGGAGTTTTTCTCCGCAAGGACTTACCGCTGGCGGACCGTGTTAAAAGACGGGAAGCCAAAAAATCACTACAGCATAGATTAGACGCTGGCGAAAAAAGACCTAAAAATTGTAAATTTTCGGGTTGAGAGGCTTCGGTAGAGGATGGTGCCGAAGCCATTCTGAGTGAAGCACGAGGCCACTTAAATAGGCTTCGGATCTGTTATACCAATGCCCGGAGCTTGCTCAATAAGCTATTGGAACTAGGTGTACAGATTGATTCAACTAGGCCAGGCATAATCGTAGTCACAAAAATATGGCTGACGCCGTCTATAGATAGTAGGGAACTTGATTTCGAGGGTTTTACATTAGTAAGGGCCGATAGAATACAAACGCGTAAAGGAGGGGGAGTAGCTCTATTCATTAGGAATGCTATTCCATTCACCATTATCGACAGTGTGTCCCATGAGAGTGGGACGTATGAATCAGTTTGCTGCCGCCTGAAATGCAGAAGACAAGAGTTGCTACTTAGTTTGATCTATCGCAGTCCAAGCTGTGAGGCAAACGAGGTCCTGCTAAGCAGTCTCAACACTTCGTCACGAAGTGATCGATGTCTAATCCTAGGGGACTTTAATGCACCCATGGTGGACTGGGGAAATCTGCGGACTGAATCGCCAGTAAATTCCTTCGAACAGGAACTAGTTGATGCGGTAATCACAAGTGCCGTAGTGCAACACGTGAAGGAAGCAACTAGGTACGATCCGGGTTCTGCATCATCCTTACTAGATCTTATATTGACTCATTATGAGGATGATGTTGCAAACCTGGATTACATGCCACCTCTAGGCAAAAGTGATCATGCAGTTTTAACCTTTGACTTCCATATAACTGTCGATCACGAACACGCCTCAGCTCAATCCAGACCGAACGTCTGGAAGGCGAACATACCAGACATTATGGAATCAGCATCATCGGTAGATTGGAAAATAGACCCAGAGTCCTCAATCGAAACGTCTTGGGACGTATTCCGGAATTTATACTTAAAAGTTACCACCCCCCACATCCCTTGGACTACACCTAGGGGGCCGAGAAAATCCCACCATGGTTCAGTAGAGAGGTTCGCATCCTTCCCCGTAAAAGAAGGAAAATGTGGGATAAATTTAGGTTACTGGGGACTGGTGAGGCAAAATATCAGTATCAAAAAGCTCAGAATACCTGTGCCTCAACCCTCCGTAAGGCCAGAAAGCTGTACGAAGAGGAAATTGTCAAGGAATTCATAGAATACCGTAAACGCTTGTATTCGTGTATAAAACAAAGGACAAAAAGAAGAAGAAATGTTCCTTCACTATGGGGAGACAGTACTGCCTCATCCCTAGTGGAGGACGACCTTGGCAAAGCTCAAGTATTCTCTAGATACTTTAGCAATGTATATACCATAGAAACACCCTTCTCACCAGTCCATGAAAATCCCCCCACACAAACACTGGACAGCGTGACCATTAAAGAACTCGATGTCTTTGGTCTGCTAGTTAAGCTTGACATAGGTAAATCCACTGGACCCGATGAACTGCATCCTAGGTTACTAAGGGAATTAGCTAACTTTGTTGCGAACCCTTTAAGTGTATGTTTTAATCTATCCGTAACCCAGGGTCGTCTACCAAAAGACTGGAAGAACGCCATAGTAAGTCCAGTCTTCAAAACAGTTACAAAACATAAGTCTGAGAATTACCGACCAATTAGCCTAATTAGTGTAGTTGTTAAAATTTTAGAAAAGATTATTCAGAAGGAGCTGTTAAAGTATCTCGATGAAAACCGGATCCTCTCCGAAAAGCAGCATGGTTTTAGAACAGGTTACTCTTGTCTCACAAACTTATAAGTCGCTCGTGAAAGCTGGTGCGCTCATAAGGACCAAAAGTTACCTGTAGACGTAGCTTACATCGATTTCAGCAAAGCTTTCGACAAAGTTTCGCATGACCGACAGCTATATAAGCTAAGGAATTTCGGGATTGAAGGCAATCTATTGATGTGGATCAAATACTAGTTGGGCATCAACAAAGAGTAAGGGTGAACTCCAAGTTGTCTAGCTAGGAAACTGTGCTTAGTGGAGTCCCCCAGGGTACAGTTTTGAGGACAGTGTTATTCCTCCTGTACGTAAATGATCTCCCTCGTCTACTATCGTCATCGGTCTTACTCTATGCTGATGATGTCAAGATATGGAGAGCGATACAAAGCAAGAGCGATAGCTTAGAACTTCAAAATGACCTGGAGAGATTATCTGAATGGTCCCAAACCTGGCAATTGCCGATAAACACTTCCAAGTGTATTGTGATGCATATTGGCCACCAGGGTACAGATACATACATGATGAATAACACCGAGCTACCTATTGTTCAAACACACAATGACTTTGGAGTCATCGTTAGTCAAGACTTAAAGACTATTGCACACTGCCGTGCAATAGTCGCCACAGGTCTTAGAACTTTATGGTCCATACGCAGGGCTTTAGGCATCTCGACGCTAAAACGTTTCTGACTTTGTATACAGTGTTCGCACGCCCTAAACGTGAGTACTGCATACAAGCAGCTAGCCCCTGCCTAAAAAAGACAGTAAACTCTTGGAAAGGGTTCAGAGAACAGCAATTAGGGTGATTGCCGGAATAGCGAAGCTCCCGTATGGTACTAGACTGACCAAGCTAAACCTATTCCCGTTGTCATATAGAAGAATCAGAGGCGACTTGATTACAGTTTCCGAATTGCTTAATGACAAATTTGGACCTGATATGCCCTCATTTTTCTTGTCTTCCAAAACAGAAAATCTACGAGGACACTCCAAAAAAGTTCATAAGCCCAGAACGAATTATTTGTCAGCTGACTACCGATTTTCCCATCGAATCATCAACGAGTGGAACTCATTACCTCAGCACGTGGTTGAGACTTCATCCGTCGACTCTTTGAAAAGAAAGCTGGATCAGGTGAGAGACCGTCATTGCCAGGACTAACACAGGCCATCAAGCCTCCTGTCCTTTCCAAACTGGAAATGAAAACTGAAATTGAACACATTAACAGTACCAAATATAACCTCGAACTTCATTCCTGACTGCTGGTTTGACTGGGATTGAGATAATCGTTTAAAAAGGTGTCACCAACAATAGAATTTTCAGGCCCTAAATTTTCGTGACATAATCTGATGCTCGACCAGGATCATCTAGCTAAGGGCGTTTAGGTGAAAGCAAAAACAAATTTGACTATTCATAAAGTTATCTATCTTGTGCAATTTTTCACCTTCACAGATCTACTACAGCTTCTACAAAAATACCAAAGACATATTGTCAAAATGTTAACGCATTTCTTAGGTCTCGTCATCTTAATTAAAGAACTAAAATTTGAGATTGCTAATTGAAATTTTCCAGATTTCATTTAGAACGTTGTGTTGAAGGTTAATGTTTACCCGCGTCTTTTGAATATCATAGAAACGTGTAAACATGATGAGTTTAAGTCTTAAAGGCTCCCAAATAAGCCCATGCAAGTCAGCAATTAGCAGTAGTCGTTTGCCAGCAAAAACATATAATGTAATTTGTAAATTGTTTTGCGTCTAATTTAACTTAGCACTAGTTTTAAATAGGTATATTTTAAAATTCAAAACATGTCAGAATATCATTCGTTTATAGTTTTTCTCAAAATATATGTTGCTATATAATAAAAAACAAACAAGATAAAAGGAAATACCTCGGAGACGTCGGTGAAAAATATACAAACACAGTTGAATCAGCTCGATTGATTTTGCATATCATACTGTGAATATATTGAATTTTATTTGCTTCTTAGACAATATATTCAAATTAAATTTCGCGGAATCTGCTTAACATTTGTCATTTAGGAATTACAGTTAGCGTTTCATTAATAAGGTATTTATATTCTATTATTCTATCCTCAAATTTCCGATGGTAAATTAAAGCCTTAATACAAGAAGTCAACCTAGACTGTCAGACTTAGACTTGTCATGAATCGTTCCTTTTAGTTACATGGACGAACATTGTCGTTCTCATCGTAACTGAGGAAGTTTGTTATGATATTAAAAATTGCTGAGTGAGCTGATTTCTTGTAACACGTTTCTTGTGAACAAGAGGATAATCACGTTTGTCATTTGAGCCCTATCTTTTGTCGTTTACTTAGTCAGCCACAGACGTTTGTCTCAGTAACTATGGCGTATGATAGCTAACAAGATAAATTTTCATTCTTTTTTCCCTTGTAGAACATCAACTTTGATGTTCTATGTCGAAACGATTGGGGGCCTACTAGAGTTAGACGAGAATGGTGACGAACCAACTAACGCTGATGTCACACCTCGCGACCAGCTCTCACGTGGATTGAACCATTGACGCATCAAAGGATAATGGATGCCATGGAGACTGTACAACACAAAGGACGTTATTACAAGAATATATTAGTTAAGGTACAACTATGATAGTACAGAAGTAGAAGAGCAACCACTGCCGTGTGGGCCAGTCCATGGCGTATTATTGATTGATGCGCGTTGACTATCCTTGACCTTGACAGGGATCAATGATCTGCTCGGTATTCAGTGACTCTACACCCTGTATACTAATGATGAAGGTATACCTTTCGTTTGAGTGTAAAACGTTGCAGTACAGAATAGTTCAGGTGTTCAAAAACGAAAATATCGCTGTTTAGTTTCGTTACCATGCAACTCAATGAGTTTATCATGTGTATAAATATCATAAAATCAGCCATGAGATTTTTTATAACCTGTCCGACGCATCGAGACACTAGCTAGTTGTTTTTAGACATATTATTGTCCTTCGGGTGTAATAAATTTTTCGAACAAATTGTTGTATTCTAGAAAGTAGTATAAGGCATTGTAATTTGTGAATTAAAAGACATATAACAGATATGCATCTTGACAAGCCGCTGTTTAAGATTTATAAGTAAAATCTTCAAGCATTAGCCTGGTAAATTGAATAAATGACTTAATAAGAGCAATTTTAGGTCGCGTTTGGATGACAACAGCAAGGGGTTATTGGTGCATAATAATGACCATAAAAGCTCACAAAAATTAGCACTATACTTTACTGTACATAAAACATATAGGTCAAACAGAAACTCGTCTCTTACTATAATTCTCTTATTGAAATCTTCATAAGGGAATTTCGTATCATTTTGAGTTGCTATGTAAATTTAAAGTTGTAAGGCTTGCTGCCACAAAGATTTTGTAAAATAACCATGCTTTGTACTCGCCTTTAAATAGGTTTAGATTACGACTTTTATTTACTCTGAAACCCTGTTGTGTTATCAACTCTTGAATAATTTCATTAAGCTTAGCTTCAGTGATTGATAGTTTTCCACTTTTGTTTTTTAGTATGACTTTAATAATATCATCAAAGAAGTACAAAGTAGTCTGCATATATATTTACATTTCAATTTTTCTCTGACAATAGCCGAATACTTAATAATATTTTATCACATTTCAAAATGTCGATTCTACTAATAGATTTGCTCAAATTCGCCCGTATAATAATCATCCGACACCTTAGTTACCTCATAGATATCCCCATGTACTCCTGTATTATCAGTATATGTTGTTCACATGTTTGATGACTAAAATTGCCCTATCATTTTTAAATATCTTAACTAAAATTTATCAGTGGTGATTCACAGTTTCTATTTTTATTTGAAGTCAGCAACAATGACGTTGTTTGTAATAAGAATAAATGTCACATTTTTAAACCAGTTACTTAACATAAGAGAATGAAATACAAAACAAACTGTTTTTAGCTGTATGATTTTGCAAAAATATCGTGAATTACCGTAAGTTAACATGTTTTTAATACTAATTTTCAGATAGAACAGCCTATGTATTTTTATTTAGTCTCCCGTCTAATCGTCACTACTTACTTTATAACAACTAAATCCTCACTTTTATCTTCTTTTGACGTCAAAAGATGTGACAACTTAGGCTTCATAGTTGAAAGCATGAGTCAAATTGAAGCTAGACCACCGTGGAAAACCTGGAAACACTGGACGGCCGTTTCGTTCTATTATGGGACTCCTCAGCAGTGCGCATCCACGAACCCGCACTCGCGAGATTCGAACCCAGGACCTACCAGTCTCGCGCCAGAGCCCTTAACCGATAGACCACTGAGCTGGCATCCAAAGGTGTTAATGTCTAACTTCAACTGATCCACGAAGTTGAGCAACCATTCACCAATTGTTTTCAGTGAGTTCCTATCTCACGACAAACGTGGTTTGCACTCATTTGGTCACTGCTTCTCGCTAGAGCTCCTGGATGTACTTCCTGAAGTGCGGGTTCTTGGGTGCGCACTGCTGAAGAGTCTCATAATAGAACGAAAAGGCCGTCCAGTGTTTCCAGGTTTTTCATGGTGATCTAGCTTCAAGTTACTCATGCTTTCAACTATGAAACATACTAAATCTCCACAAAACCCCTTCTGACAACTTAGGCTGCCTAGCTGCCTATACGCGATGCCCCTTCTATTTCATCAATTTCTCATCCGTTCAAAATGTAATGCTTGATTTTTTAGGCGGTTGATATAAAACATGAATTTAAATTTATAGGAAACAAAAATGAGTTTTCACCTCTGAGCTGAAGGTTTGAACCCAATATAGCCTTAGTTCTTGTTCAAGCGAACTATAATTGTGTTTCAGTGACTTGGAAATGCATGAGATGTGTGAAGTTCAACTGAAGTATGACGTAGAAGTGGATGCATAAAACTAAAATTGGTGACTGTTTTATACACATAAGCATCTAGATTTGAATATTATTTCATGAAATCATAAATTTGAAATTTTTATTTCAGGAAAACTCTCGAACCAGAAACGGGACAGAAAATATTAGAAACAATGGAAATTCCTTTCAAGGCCCAGAAATTTCTCCTAGTGCTTCGGCGCCATTAGTTAAACGGAAGTTGGAATCCCCTGACAATTTAATTACTAAGGACGGCGAAAACTTGCTCATCGATTTCAATAACACAATTCACACCGATTCATTAACATTTAAGATAGGTAAATGTAGTTCATGGCCGAGTGAATCGAATGATAAAAGTGTTTCAAGATGGCTAGAAACAAATTTTCATGATCAAAACGACAGCGGTTTTAATTGGGACGGTCAAAATGATGTAAGCAAAAATCCATCTATATAAACTAAAACGATTTTCAATATATGATCGTAGAGATTGTTGAGTTTTTACCGAGATCGTGAACCGATCAATGTTGGACCAACATTGAAAACCTAGAGGCATTGGAAGGCCGCTTCGTCAACACAGTTTGATTTCCTTTTACATTTAATCGCTTATACGATTGCGTCATAATAACTGGGGCTTTCTGGTTGATCCAAGCCATCTACCTTTACTGCCTCACTCAAAGAGTTTAATTTATTGTAAAATAATATTGGGTTAGGTTTATCAACGACTTAGGAGTTTGACTCACAGTTTGCAGCGTAATTTATGTTAAAATGTTTTTGGTTTTCGGTAAAAGTTTGATTAAACTATGCTGAAGAGGTGGTAATTCCAAATAAAAGTACGGATAGATTTTAGGTTCTTGCAAGTTTTGATAAGTATAATTTCTTGAGTAGTTGAAATAGTCATTACGCTATTTTGTGCGCACAATTGAATTTTCATGAAGCAGAAAATGTAAAAATATCTGAATGGCGGCAAAAGATAATTGTCTTGTATACTGTTGACCATTTTGTGACATACATTCAACAAACTTGGAAAATTTTCTAAAAAACAATATACAAAATATTGCTCTTGGAAAGTAATTTTATGAAAGACATCATTTTATGAGCCTTCAAAAATCTGTTTCCGTATGAAAAGTTTTATTTGATTTCTAGTTATAACTCTGGAATACCTACAACCTTTAAATTCTCCTGCAAATCATAATTTTTGACGCTTTTGGTGATGACATGTCAAACCGTAAATGTCAAATATTGAAACGGACCAGTTACTTTATTTCACCGTCGATTAATAAGTGTTATTGCTTTGTTATACTGCAAATTAAGAATCTATATAATATATATTCGTTTGTAACCTGAATGTAAATCTATTGTATAAGGAAAGAACTTAACAGTTCTATCCAAATGGAGAAATAATTGCTTTGAGTAAAGTTTGAAAAAAATATGTAAATAGTTTGATTTCTTCTTAGAAGAACAATTGAAAGACTAAGACTCAGCTATATTGTATCAAACATTTTTAAGTAGCTAAACAATTATGACGACCCTACAGTTTTCACAAAACAATTAGCAACCAAATTAAAATGGTAAAAATAGTAATTGACCTAGCTGCAACACTATATTAACTTACTATATCCTCACGATTTTATAGCGAGATTTCTTGAACACAGCTTGATTGCTGTTAAACAATGAGATATTTGTTTTCTTGATTTCAGAAGTATTGACCACTAAAAGATAAAGTATTTCTTGTCAAAGTCTATCGTCATATAAAGGTTTTTCCCACCATATTAATTGATATGACCTCTAGTTACATATTTCGTTTTTCTCAATGTTTTCTGAAGACGGAAAATTCATGTTATCTTTCGCAAAGTACTTCTAATAAAAACTTTAATTGGACAATCATATTCCTTGAATTTCTGAGATGGAGGAATTCAATTTGTATTTTTCTTAAAATGTCTAGAATTCTGTATTCCTATTAACCAATTAATATCTTGACTGTTATAGATCCGTGAAACTTCAACGCCCATGCCGCAAGCCTTTATATCTCCCTCAAGGCTGTTTGCGACAATAAGCATTGATGCCACTTTGAGAGACTCTAGATTATGATGATTTATCAAATAAAATATTGAATTAAATCATAAGTTTAAATTCATAAAACAAGTAAATTTTTCAGTGGATAATTGTTAAATACTTTAGAAGATAAGAATTTCAGCCGTTAAAACAATTGTTGTTTAATTAATTAGGTATCTTAAATCGGGTCGTCTAGAAATCCATTTTTTCAAATAATTTGTTTGGTCTATGTTCAGTAGACTTGTATGCATTCTTTAAAAGTATCAGCTGTACGGAAATTATTTGGTAGAATATAGTTTCAGGGAATTTGTGTTTTTCAATATATGTAAAGATAAAGAAATATCGAGTCTGTAAATGTGCATATTTACCATAAATTTCGCGATTTCATTCAAAATAACAGTTGAAAAATTAACAGAATTACGAGAATAGTTATGATTTTTCCATAAGATAAATATATTTCTTACTGTTAATCCATCAAGGTCCAAAGAGCGAATACTTTGTGACAAAACGACGTAAAAGTGACCCTCATTTACAAGACCTTTCACATTTCTAGTTGAGTGCTGTAGCTAATACTAATATTCAAAAATTAGTGCTTCGACTAACACGTGCTACGTTGACACGGTAGCTGGAATTGCCTATTGTGATGACTCAACCGAATTTTACTGACCAAAACGCATATTTTTTATGTCTTACCATGTCAGCGAGGTTGTTAGGAGAACTGTAAGACTATAAGCAACAACTTAAGGTCTGAGGTTGAAGTTGTACTTCTTTTTCAAATCCCTCAAGAATAAATGTCCTTCCACGGTTTGTGCAACTGGGAAGTGATGACCACTCTCATGTCTCTACTACCATCTGAGATCATCTTGTTGACGATCGAATCGCTCTCCCATCTCTTAATAATTTTTCCATCCCGTGACTAACCGCTTCTGATTTATCTGTATCACCACCCACCACCAATGTTAACGTTTTGAGTTCACGAAATATTATTTCCGGTCTCCTAAAACCGCGCTCGAAACTGTGTGTTAAAGCTTTTAATGTTCGAACGCTGTGTCAGATCGGAACACAGGCTTTTTTGACTAGGACTCTAGAATGTCGTGCCATCGACATATGCTGCGTTTTCAAAACGCGGATACAGGAACCAAGTACAGCGTTGTAACAGCCGGATTTCTCATCTACACGAATGGGGGCGTTAATTTGCATAAGACGAATATCTGCACTAAATTCCCTCCAAGTGTCTATTCTACAGGACTTCAGCACAACTCAGATCAAGAACACGTGATTAACCCAACTAAAACGTAAATATATTTGCACGCCAAAAGCCGACAACAATCCGTCAACAATTACATTAATAATAAGGGTAAGAGAATATATAACTCATCGGTGGCAAACTGTCATCGGAATTGGTTACTTCAAGTAGTGTTCGTCAGGACTGTCTATTTTCTTCAGTTTTATTTAACTTCTTCATAGACATACTTTGAGAGATAACACTTTCATCGTCTGACTTTTCAGGAGTTGATCTTGTAACAGGAGATTTACTTGTTGTCATGAGCTGCGCAGATGATATGATTCTGTGTGTCGAAGACGCTGGCAAAATGCAAAGTCTTCTGATCACCTTAAGCAACAATGCAAGCATGTTTAGGATGCGGTCCTCTTACCTCAGATGTAAAATATTACTACAGGATTGACTTGCGTCATCGTCTGAATGAGTGATAGGGACTGAAGTAGTTGAACACATCAACCGCTTCACTTCTCTCGGGAGTCTCATGAGTGCTGATGCTCTGGTGTCTGACGAAATCTCGACATGGATTCAGGAGGCTCGATTGGCTTTTTCCAACTTGCGTCACTTGTGGCGTAGGCGAGGGATCCGTCTTCTAACAAGAGGGGGAGTTTACTGTGCAGCCGTTTTCTCCGTTCTATTTAATGGGTATCATAAAAAGTTTTTTATGTCATGATATTCTCGAGTACTTAATAGCCTTCTTTGTTTGATTATCAATTACTTTGTTAGGATGACATTTTGACACTATACTCAGACAAAAAAAGTGAAGACTTCACAGGTGGAAAAAATTTAGACACAATAGTGGATAGTTTAGACTTGAATATAAATCCAAGATTCGAAAGTATCTCTATGGATATAAAGCAAGTTATAGGTGATGATGGTGATTTACAATACACAGATATCAATGAGAAAACAGATACTCCACCTCCATGTTTAGTTAGACCTTCATCTAATTCAGTCAACACTGCACGCCAGATAAGTGACTTCAATGATGAATGTAAGTTTAAACAGATAATCCCTTTTCAGAATGAACGTATTTATATTTTGTTATATGATTATTTACGTTATTGACTTTTCGAGACTTTTGTTTAATCCCCTAATTATTTGAAGATTTTGTCCGTAGTTGAAGTTCACTTTAGCATTAGGTTGTTTGTTCACGTATTTTGGCTCTAGCTGCTCAAAATGAAAGCCGTTTCGTTTAATTTTTAACTTTATTTAATAGATTTTTGAGTTTATCCTCCGTGTTATTTTCCTCGGTACTTCGAACTCGATATTTCAAAAATTGAAGTTTTCAGAATAACAATGAAATTTTGTTTAGTATTCTGTGTTAGAATTAATGGACAGATGAAATTTATATTTAAAATTAACCAGCAGTACTAAATACTTCTAAAGAAAAAAGCTTATACCAATATAGAAAGCTGAAGAATTTGTGCCATTTTGCCAGTGAATAATTGCGAAATAGCCTGTGGTAACAAGGAAAGAAAGTTCAGCGTTAACTGTTGTAAGTTAATTGTAGAATAAAAAGGCTGATTTGTTTAGTATCTTCGTTACCGATTTGAAATATATACTTCGATCATTTTATAGTAATGGACTCTGCTAAAATGACTGAAAAAATGTGAAGTTAGAATTTCATGCTTAGCTATAGGTTTGATCTTTCGAACTCAGTAGTAGCTAAAAAGAAACGTTTATATTCAGAAAGCTTATTTCTATAAAACTGATCTTTCGAAAGAAATAATAGTCACCGGCATACTTTTAAATGATAACTTAATCGTCTCTAGTGAAACTTGATGAAATTTATTTAGGAAATAAAAATTTATTGTCACTGACACATTTGTTTTTGACAATTTAATGATAGACAACTAAATCCTGATTTAAAACCTTTTTCATTATTCGACCATTAGCTGTATATAAAAACACTTAGTTGTTTCAGATAGGACTTTGTGTTTCGCCTACATTTATTTTTCAGTGAAGTTGCTAACCTCAACTTTGCATGATGACAATCGACGTAATTCAGCGGCGACTGTTATACAAAAGTTTTGGAGACGTCATAGAAGAAGATATTTAGCAGCTGAAGCTGTAATGTATCGTCTACTTGACGATCAAAAACGCAGATTAAGTAAACAGAACATAAATAATGGACAACCTATTCATTCAGTTCTACAAAATCGTCAAAATGTGTTAAAACAGAAAAGGAAACAACGACATCAAAATGCTATTAAAGTTGGTTTTGATTGTTTAATGTTGATTTTACAATTTACGTACAGGAACATATTTGCTTCTATCTGTTAATAACTTCTGGTTTAGCAGTATCTGAATATTCATTTGAAATGAAGTTAGATTCGAGTTTCTTCTACACTAGAATACATCGATTGTAATTTATAATAAGCCTACAAGAGATAGTCACACACAAGCTAAAGAAATTAGTAGCTAAGACTTCTGAATTTAAAAATGGAATATGTGAGTGAAATCAATGTAACACCACTCAGTTCTGAGATGGTGGAGAAGATTTGTAGCTCAGGTGGACGATGAAAGCTCCACGACCAAACCATCCAGCTCAAAGAACAAAACTCCATCAAAACCGCCCAGTTCGTTTTGAAAAAACAGAAACTTTAATAAAAGTGAATATAAGTACCATTTTAGACGCTTAGAGTAATCACCGAAATAATTCATATGCGTTCTATAAGCTTGTTAAGATTTATTAGTGTTTTACACTGAATCGTTTTGCGTCATTCGATTTCGTAGTCCCAAAAGAATTATCGGTCGATAAAATTTTAAGTCATTTATTTCTTATAAATCATATTCTAATCGAAGTTGTAGGAACATAAATTTTTACTTCCATACTTTATCAGAGGTAACGTGTTAAATATCTATGAATTCAACCAAAATAAAAAAATGAACTGACGAATTGCCCATTTATTTGACTTTTTATATCTTACAATTTGTATGCTCGTTATTTTTTTCAATGACTATTTAGCCTAATCTTTATCAGATATCTTATTCAGCAAAGATCAGTTAACTATTCATGGATTATTTAAACCGGTTTTATTCATGTTTACTAGGTCTAAATCCTACTTAATAAATCTTTATCATATCGCAACACGCACCATCTACAGAACAAACTTCTGAATATTCGCGAAAACAAATACAAATAGCACAATGTTGACGATTAATTAGTTCACTGGATTGCATTGAAAGAATGGTTTAATTGTCCAAAATAACTGAGAAAAGTACACATTTTCATCATCTTAAATAATACTAGTTGATAATCAGTTAAATCTAATGAAATGGTCGGAAAAACGTTTAAATAATAGAAAAAAATTATTTGACTATTTGTTTGAATTGCGAATGATGTTTTTTTACTTGGGATGAAGAATCTGAGTTTGAGTCCCGCATGCGGTATCGTGGATGCTACTGCTGAGGAGTCCTAAATCGGGACAAAACGGCCGTTCAGTGCTCACAGGTTTGCAATGGTGGCATAACATTAATCGGTTTATGAACTCGGTAAAACTCAACAATTTCCACAACCCTACACTGATAATAATGTTTTTTGTACCTTCCTAGTCTTTGGTTAATAATTATTCTTTAGTTTAGAGTTTTAAAGTGCTAGAATGAAACAAGTTATGGTATTGAACTATTCGTTTACATGATCGATGATTAGGAATTTTCCTTTTAAACCACAGTCTGATAAACTCATTTATTATTAATCTTAAGATTTTGCACGAGAATCGATCCACTAAAAGTTCACAAAGGCAAGAAACTTTAGAGAATAAGGGAGAAGAAAACAGTGTGCCTGAATCAATCCTTGCATTTGGTAACCAAAAGGACCGTACAAATGAAGATAAATCAAATGCTTTGAATAAGCCCATATTTCCTACCAAAGCTAATCAATATAAGACTTGCAACCCTGATATTGATATGACCAAAGTGAGTCAATAATTAAAGTAAGCTCTGTGATTTACTTAAACTTTCATTTTTTCGTCTACAAGAATTTAACAATTCCTGCTTTACTGCATAAAACTTGATGACACTTGTGACTACTATATTTTAGTACTTATATTCATGTAAGACATAACTCCTACCATTGATTTTTGTCTGATCCTTTTGTATTTATTAGGTCTGTATTATTTAAGAAGCACAGATAATATTCTCTATTTGAACATAATGTCTTATTTGGCAGAATATCAGGCCATTAATTAATATCCTAGTGATTTGAATACAGGATCAAATCATAGTGTGATATGAAATTTAGTTTGAAACAATATGAACTGTTATTTAACTGGTTTCTACACCTGCACTAAATTAAGATTACTTGAAAGAATACAGACTGATCAATTTGTAATACCGAATTTTTGGGATTGTATGGTGTACTATATTTAAACTATATAGAATAACTTAAAGTCCCACTCACATTCACTTTGGAAATAAGAAAGACATTGAAATAATACTTGAGTTCAGTCATTTTCAGTTCAATAAGTGACGAATGTTCGGTAGACTTTAGGATTTTCACCATCAGTGAACAACGGTTGTAAAACCATCTCAGAATGCAGTCCTAAAGTGTGGCAAAACAACTAAGATGCTAGAATAACAATCAGTCAGCTGACTTTTCGAAACAAAACTGATTAGAGTAACCAGGTAGTGGAAAAACTGAATGCCAAATGGTATAGGTTTTCGAGACCAAACACAGACCTCCCATTATTCATGCGTGAAGATACTACTCTTATTTCCTAATTTATCTGTTACTTATTTCGTGATCACGGATTAAAAGTGACAAGCTATTCAGCTACTTTGTTCATGTTTTTTTCTAGTTAAGTCGTATTTTGTCTCCACATATATTCGAGGAAAAACGTTAGGGAGTATTTATCTGACTTACCATTATTCCGATACTTATGTTCCTCTTCAGTTCCGCATAACCTTCAGTTGAATCAAAGCTTCAATATGCAGCTTTAGGTCATCAGGTGGAAATTATGGTGTATAGTTAAATTAATCTAATATTCACCGATTGATCACTAATTCATAGTTAGTTTTATGTTTTTTTCGCCCAAAGTGCTGAGTTTCCCGATTAAATTGGAATATGTTCATTTGTCCAGGTGACTTGACACCGAGTACACTTTTCTGATGTTAGGTTGTTGAAGATAGTTGAGGGGAACCATGTACCGAGGTCACCAAGGGGTACTAGCAATCTTAAGGGAATTGATGCTTCATTGAGGATTCGAACACGGGCCACCATGTTTCTTAGACTGAGACGTATCTCTGAGCAGTTCTGTTTTCAAGGACCTATGTCAGACTCAAATATTGACGGTGATCCATCGCTGAATATTGGTCGACTTTATGTGTGCCAAGTCCTTAAAACTGATCAGGTTGAGGACCCAGGTACCATGAGGAGCATTAGCCCGTCAAAAAGTGAATATACTGTACTAACGAGTGTTAGTTATCACAAACCTAGGTCAAAAGGATTCCAACTGACTACCTCGGATGCTCTAATATCAGAATTATACATGGTTTTTGAAAATCCCATGAAGACGGTTTTTCCTGAGTAAATCAGAAACTAGTCTAGCATAAGGTTTGTATTGTTTATTACTGGTGTTAAACGTCTATGTAATTACTGGATGCTGTACAAATCAGCATGATTGTTTGAAATACCATTGCTTCTCAGTTATTAGCATAGGTTTGAGTAAGCTTAACAATTTTTCTTGGTAAAAGACTATCATTTATGAAAATTTCCAGCTTTCATTGTGATAGTGAAAATTCGCTTTAAGGTTTATTCAAACAGAAACAGTACAGGATACAGAAGCTTATCCATCGCGGTTACTCTTGGCATATCTGCCTATGATAATTGGCTTACTCTTTGTGTGCATGAGGCGTTGCTTACTAATATTACTACTTTGTCCATTTTATGTTAGACTACAAAACAAAATGTACACAATGAAATTGAACAAGTCGGTAGGGAGAACAACAGTCTCTGTCAGACTGAGTTTTGCAGTCTACGGAATGATGGAAATAACAGGACAATCGATCAACAAAAAGACGTATCTGGGGTTAAAAACATGTCAGCTGTAGATAACATACTTCAGGAATTAAAACAGCTAGAAAGCGTGGAATTCTTAAATTATTGCTCAACGAATGATCCAGGTATCAATATTGATGTGTCAAAACAAGTTTCCTTGCAGAAGTGTCCCATTCCAACTACATGGTCTGAAATGAGTAAGTTAATCCAGTTATTATCTATTTCGGATTTCGATGTTTGTGCATGAACTGGATGATCTGAAAACTTCCCTTAAAATAACGAGAAAAGACTCATTACTTATTGCACATTCAGTACCATTCTGTGAATAAATTCGAGGACTAATTAAGCTGAATATTTTCGTAAGTCTTTCAGCTGATTCGTATTTCTCACAAATAGGTTTGGGTTAACCATTTCGTTGAGCTTAAATATTTTCACAAAGGGCATTCATGTACACAAATAAGTATATTCTGTATCACTCAAGATAATATGTCCGGTTTTTTAGAAATATTTGATTTATTGAATTTTGAGTGAAGCCCAAGATTGCTTGAGATGGTCATTATTTTCTGACCACGTTTTTACTTGTTGCTCTCTATTTACGCTAGAATACTGATTTCTTGATGAATGAAAAGAACACGCATAGAGGGAGGAAATGAATCAAAAATCACTTCTTTTTTGAGCTCTTATCATCCATCGTTTTCTGAAAGTTTTTAAAAATAAAGTTACATTCGTGAAAACACATAGGTATGAGGGATTTAATAAGACTTCTCCACCATGTACAAATTAAAAACAATCTTAACTGATGATTATTATGACTACTGCAGCCTTTATCACATTTAAATTACTGAATAATCGGTGTAAAGTCAAGTCACGTTAAATTGTGCTACTCCTGTTTGCTATTTTATCATTTTTTTAATAGTATTGAATGATATAATAGGAGTCTATTCGGTTGTCACTGTACTTGAACTCTTCAAATGAAGTTATACATTTTTGAAATATATTTTTGCTATTCAGTTACTACAAATTACCTTGATCTGTTGAGTAACGAAGCTCGATCTGAATAGTTGAACAGTATCTAGATTCTGTTGTAATTCAACATCCATATTTAGTCACATTTCGGATAATAATAATAATAATAATAATAATAATAATAATAATAATAATAATAATAATAAAGTCTTTCAACTGGTTGGAAAGAACTATGGTATCATTTTCAGTCCTACCGCATTGACGAACTGATATCTGAGTAAATAATTTTATCTTAAAGATGCTTCAATTAATCACAGTGGGGAATATGAAACGTTGACAGAACTAAACTAGTGTTTTAATTTCCATCAGTCAGTATACTCTAATTGTCTTTCACACCCCATCTAATGAAATAAATAAATCTAAAATTCATACTGAGTGAAGAAATTTTTCGGACTTGCTATTCATCATCCTTCAACGCTAACTGAAAATAGTCTACAAAAATAATTATAAGTAATTAAAGAAGTGATTCTTAAATAAAGCCAGGTGAAGTAATTATGGAGTTTCGAGATTAAGCTGTTAAATAAATTGAAAAAGGATATTAGTCTCACTAGGTAGTCTAATAAATAAAACGGTTAGGTGGAATGAAGTTATAAAAGTGGAACAGGTTGTTAGGCTACACTATACTCAATAGAGATCGATTATCGAAAGGAAATAGTCAACTAAACAACCAATCATCAACACTCATCCAGTATGAAAAAAAAGAGATGAAAATTTTTAGTTGGATTAGTAAATCAAAATCTTGTGCATGTAGCTTTATTTGGAAAAATCGTTTGATTAAGATGACAAAAATAAAATGAAAGAAAGCAATATGAACTTTTTCTAATCGCGAAAATCCAACTGGTTCATGTGAATATAAACGGATTATACTATATAAGAAAAATTAAATCTCGAAGTGAATTGAGTACAGTATATGACCTTTAAGGTCTCATATAACCTCGGTGTCTAATACTAGATGGATATGCAATGATAGAGTTTCTTGTCGTCCTAGCCTATATTTTTGCTCAGTCACAGAGAAAATGATGTCGGGAATAGATCAAACATTAAAAACTCTCTTTATGTCCAACTTGAAAATAATTGCTAATGTTGATTGACGATTTTTTGAGAGCCCATTTGTGTCAAGTAAGATATCATTTATATACTAGTGATTTATCAAAACGTTTTTCAGTGGAATTTGCTTGAAAGTAATAGTTGTTGAAATCTATATCAATAGGCTTAGTCTTGTTTACTATAAACAGGATACTAACTATGGTGTTGCTTATAGAATAATCCTGCTGACAAAATATATTTTATATCAGTTTTCTTTTCTAAAGTAATTCAAAAACTTTAGGCTATTTCTCATTGTCCTTTTAGGTTTAAATTCGATTTTGTGCGTTTAATGAATTCTTACATAATTCTTGGTTATCTTGCAAAAAACCAGACTTTTCATTTCGATTTTTAAAGTGAACTAAATGTTTACCTTGTAATATAAACTTCAGAACTAATGTATTCAAAATATTTTCATTGAATACATACATATTTACTTGCTCACTTACGCCTGTTACCCCTCGTGGAGGAGCATAGGCTGCAGACTAGTATCCTCCATTCAACCCTGTCCTGAGCAATCCTTTTCAGTTCCTTCCAGTAGGTACTCATCCCTTTCATGTCTGCTCCAATCTCCCGGCATGATGTGTTCTTTGGCCTTCCTCTTTTCCGCTTCCCTTCACTATTCCAAGTTAGGGCTTGCCCCGTGACGCAGTTTGGTGATTTCCTCAATGTATGTCCGATCCACTTCCAACGTCTTTTCCTAATTTCCTCTTCAGCTCGCAGCTGGTTTGTCCTCTCCCATAAAACGCTGTTGCTGATAGTATCCGGCCAATGGATGTTGAGTATTTTGCGTAGACAACTGTTTATAAATACTTGTACCTTCCTGATGATGGTCGTAGTAGTTCTCCACGTTTCAGTTCCGTACAGTAGGACTGTCTTGACGTTCGTATTAAAGATTCTGACCTTGAAACTAGTTGAGAGTTGTTTTGAGTTCCATATGTTCTTCAATTGTAGAAATGCTGCCCTTGCTTTGCCAATTCTCGCCTTTACATATGCATCCGATCCTCCTTGTTTATCAATGATGCTTCCCACGTTCATGAATGTTTCCACCTCTTCCAGAGTTTCTCCATCAAGTGTGATTGAGTTGGTGTTCTCTGTGTTGTATTTGAGGATCTTGCTTTTTTGTTTGTGTATGTTGGGGCCTATTGATGCAGAGGCTGCTGCTACATTTTTTGTCTTCATCTGTATTTGCTCGTGTGTATGAGATAGGAGGGCTAGGTCATCTGCAAAGTCCGAATCGTCTGATTGATTCTTAGATGTCCGTTGTATTCCTTGCATCCCCTCACATGTCGAGGTCTCCATAATCCAGCCAATCACCAGAAGAAAGAGAAAGAGGGAGAGTCGGTAACCTTGTCTGACTCCTGTCCTTACTGGAAATGCATCTGTCAACTGTCCTCCATGCATGACTTCGCACTGTAGTCCGTTGTATGAGTTCCGGATAATGTTGACACTCTTCTCAGGAACTCCATAGTGTCATATAAGGTTCTATGAGGTTCTTCTATCCACACTGTCAAACACCTTCTCATAGTCAATGAAGTTGACGTATAGTGATGAGTTCCACTCAACCGATTGTTCGATGACGATCCGTAGTGTCTCAATTTGGTCTGTGCATGACCGATTCTTACGGAATCCAGTCTGTTGATCTCGAAGTTGAGCGTCTACTGCGTCTTTCATCCGGTTCAGCAAAACTCTGTTGAAAACTTTTCCTGGTACTGATAACAAACTGATGCCTCTGTAGTTCTCACATTTGCTCAGATCTCCTTTCTTTGGTATCTTGATGAGATATCCTTCTTTCCAGTCCATTGGCACTTGTTCCTCTTCCCAAATCTTCTTGAATAGAAGGTGAAGCATGTTTGCAGTTATTTCAATGTCTGACTTCAGTGCTTTTGCTGGTATATTGTCAGGTCCTACCGCCTTCCAACTTTTGATTTGTCTGATGGCCATCTTGACTTCTTCGATCGTTGGTGGAGTGACATCTATTGGAAGGTCTGTGTGGGCTGCTTCGATGTCCGGTGGATTCAATGGGGCTGGTCTATTCAGCAGCTCCTCGAAGTATTCTGCCCATCTTTTCCTCTGTTCTTGAATCTCAGTGATTGTCTTTCCTTCTTTGTCCTTGACTGGTCTCTCTGGTTTGCTATATCTCCCTGCCAATTTCTTTGTTGTATCATATAGTTGTTTCAAATTCCCTTCTCTTGCAACTTTTTCCGCCGTCGTTGCTAGTTCTCCCATGTATTTCTGCTTGTCGGCTTTAATGCTTTTCTTCACTTCCTTGTTTGCTTCTGCGTAGTCTGCTTGTGCTTTGACTTTCTCTGCCCGTGTTCGGCTGGTATTAATTGCTGTCTTCTTGTTCTTCCTTTCTTGAATTTTGTCCAGGGTTCCCATAGAGATTCATTCCTTGTGATGATGCTTCTTAGGACCAAGAACCTCCTGACACGTTGAAGTTAGTGCTTCTTTTATCCCTTTCCAGTTGTTCTTCAAAGTAGTTTCTTGTTCATTCAATAGATCCTGTAGAGCTTGGAACCTGTTGTTGAGAGTTATCTTCGATTCGTTGAGCTTCTCAGTATCTCGAAGGAAGGCTGTATTGAACCTTTGTAATACTGTTCCCCCAGTTGTCCAGTGTTTCTTAAGCTTCAGTCTCATCTTGGCCACAACCAGGTGGTGATCTGAAGCTATATCAGCTCCTCTTCTAGTTCTCACATCTTCCATTGATCTTCGGAATTTTTTGTTGATACAGATGTGATCTATCTGGTTGTCTGTGATTTGGTTCGGTGAGATCCATGTAGCTTTGTGTATGCGTTTACGTGGAAATATTGTGTCGTCTATTATCAATTTGTTGAATGCACATTGATTTGCAAATCTATTTCCATTTTCATTTCTCTCCCCTAGTCCATGTCGTTCAATTATATCTTAATATCCTGTGTTGTCCACTCCGACTTTAGCATTTAGATCTCCCATCAGGATGGTGAGGTCCTTTCTTGAGCACTTAGCTATGATTGATTGAAGCCTGTCATATAATTGATCTTTATCATCGTCGTTGCTATCATTTGTGGGTGCATAACATTGGATAACATTCATTGTGATCCCTTGCTTCTTTGTTCTGAATGGTGCTTTGATTATCTTGGGTCCATGAGATTCCCATCCCACAAGTGCATTTCGTGCTTCTTTGGACAGAATTGGAGCAACTCCCTGAGTGTGTGTATCATTTTCCTCTTCGTGACCGGAGTACAGAAGCATCTTTCCTGTACCTAACCTTTGTTATTCAGCTTGGGTTCAATAAATTTCGCTAATTCCAAGTACTTCTAATTTGTATCTCCTCATTTCCATTGGTATTTGACTGGTCTTCCCGGTCTCCCACATTGTCCGGACGTTCCATGTACATATAAAGAGTGTTGTTCTGGTTGTTAGAAGGTGCATCGGTCTCGTGACTTCCGAAGGATCTCGGTTTTCATCATGAGGGCAGAGTTTAAATGGTTTTAATTATTTGTTCTGGTTAGCGTTTTTTTAGCGAGTTAGTTTTCTACGGGATAGGGTCGCTAAACCATGCCTAACGCTCCTCATTTATCCGGGCTTGGGACCAGTAGTAGCCCTCGGACGGACTGCAGGCGGAGTTCATTGAATACATATTTATCTTTAAATTAACTGGTGTTTTATAGACAATATTGTTATAAAATGATTTAATTTATCTTTTTTTTAGTCAAGGATATTAGTCGCGTTCTATCTGAGGCTGAGCAAGATGAAGTGAATTCAACCAACTTCAGGAAATATTGTAGTGTTCAACGATCTACAGGCTTAAAAGGTGTTCGAAATCGATCTGCTTCTACATTATCCAATTATTCTTCACTTGCTCAGTCAAATTTGTCAGGTCCATCTACAATAACTACAAACAAACATACGTTCCTGAGTGAAGAGAATTGTGATTCACATACCAAGTAAAATTGTCTTGTGTTATACAAACCCCAGTACTTGCTACTAAATATCAAATTTAATAACTATTTTCTGTAGTGTCAAGCACTTGATAATGATTTAGGCAAATTTTGTCTTATACTGTAGTAATTTGAATGCAAAACCAAATGTGATCCTTTCTCATTGCAGAAATATGATTATAGTTATAAAAGTCTGAAACTAAAATCCAGAATTATTGGTTAAAGGTGTCCTAACTCAGTTCATACACTTAAATTTACTACATCCTAAGACTGTGACAAGTACTCTTCAAGAATGGTACTCAATGTTTATTGCCTAACTTAGTAAATTTCGATAAATCGAATTTCAATGGTGGTCTAGCTTTCATAGACTCATGAATTCAACTATTTGATCACGACAATTTCCACTAAGTTAAATGTTATTTTAACTATCATTTAGAATGTAAGCAAAACTAGTGAAGGTCGTAAATGAAATTCCTAGTTCTTCTAAATAACCACGAATAATTTTCTGGAGAAATAGGTTTACTCAATATCTGGCAGGAATTCTACTTATTTAATAATAGAAAAGAATAATTAATTAAAAGCTGTGATCGTGTTTATAAAATCACAAAGGATTAGAAGCGTTTGGAAATTCGCTTCAATATTACCACAGTCTGAATCCGTCATAATATCACCATAGGCGTGCCTACTAACGGCGTACTTTTCACATCTTTTATCGTCATCATAGAAAGGGTAAAGTTTCGGATTCAAAATACTCGACTCACATTTTCCATTTCAAAATGATAAATAACCTCAAGTCTTTGAAAGGTTTTACAGCATCTTCTAAATAATCACTGCAAAACATAACGAATTATTCATGTAGTTGATCACTGTAATAAAACACTAGAAATTCTCATAGTTTTTCATAATAATTAATTTTTTCATAGTACTATAGTCACTATGTAACTGTCATCATATTTATGTAAGTTACAAAGTTATCTCAATGGCCTTTTTTCGGTAGACATATGGAGCGGGTTTGTTCACGGCAAAAGGCCCAAAAAGAACTCGATCAATCTATATCTCAATGTCGAGAAAAATTGACTACGTTCATCCAGTCAAATCACAATAATGTATGTCATAATCTTCCAGAATCAAATGGCGGTAATACTGGTACTAATCAACACACAAAAATTTCTAAGAGTCGAAGCTCTTCTACATCACAAAGACCATCTTCTGTAAAAAATCAAACAACTTCTAGATCTTTACAATCTAGCTGCTTTAAAAGCCCTATGAATCTATCAAGTGCTCATTTGCTGCATGCAAATTCTGTTGGAAAAAATGCTGAAAGTAAATTATCCTACAAAAATCATGTGGGATATAGTACACAAAATCTTTATGAAAGTGTATCACTGAAGGATGAAATGAAGGTAATTTAGTGGCTATTTGTATTTTGACAGTCATATTCAAAATGTATTTACTAATTATAGCCTGACCTGAGTAACATCTTCCATCGGATGTGTGTGAAGAAACTGAATTGAGAGTAAATATGGTGCTAAAACTTCACTTTACTATTTATATGAGTTCTTTGTCTAAAAACGGTAATAACTTTGCTTGAAATGCTCCTGTCAACCCTCGTAAAACATAGGCCGCTGACCATGATTTACCAACCAACTCTGTCCTGAGCTTTCCTTTACAGTTGTTCCCAAGCGCTATTGATTCTTTTGATGTCTGCATCCAATCCCCGGCATCATGTGTTCTTCGATCTTCCTCTTTTCCTTCCGCCTTGAGGGTTTCAATTCAGTGCTTACTGTGTGATGCAGTTTGGCGCTTTCTGTAGTGTGCGTCCTATCAACTTAAAGCGTCTTTTCTCAATTTCCTCTCCAGCTAGAAGCTTGTTTGTTCCCTGTTATAGGATGTTATTGCTGATTGTATACGGTAAATGGACCTTGAGTATTTTGCGTAGACGTTTTATAATTACCTATACTATTTTGATGGTAGTTATAGTAATTCCCTAAGAATCAGCTCCGTACAGCATAAGTGTCTTGACGTTTGTATTGAAGAATCTTACCTTGGTGTTGTCTGACAGTCGTTTTTAGTTCCAAATGGTCTTCAGTTGCAAGAGTACTATGCTTGCATTGTCAATCAGTGCCTTCAAATCTGCATCAGATCCCTTTTATTCCTCAATGTTGCTGTTCAGCTACTTAAAGACATCCATCTCTTCCAGAGCTTTTCCATCAAGTGTGATTTGGTCGGTACTCGCTGTGTTGTCTTCCAGGACCTTGCTCTCACCATTTTGAAAATTGAGACCTACTGCTTTAGAGATTGCTACAACATTGACTGTCTTCACCTACTTTTGTTGTTGTGTGTGAGATAGAAGACCTACATCATCTGCGGAGTTCAAATTTTCTAGCCACATCCAAGCTGTCCATTGTATTCTGTGCTTCCCCCGAGATATGTAGGTCTTCATAATCCAGTCAGTCATTCACTAAAAGAAAGAAGGATCGTGAGAATGAGCAGCCTTGGCTGGCATTGGTCTTGAGTTGGAATGGATCTGTCAGCTGTTCTCCATTCACCACTTTGTAGTGCAGCCGGTCGCATGAATTCCACATGATGTTGACGATATTCTCAGGCACACCATAGTGTCAAAGAAGGTTCCGCAATGTTCTCCCATCCAATTTGCCGAATGCCTTCTCATAGTTAAGGAAGCTGATGTATAGTGACGCATCCTATCCTAGTGATTGATCAACAATGATCCATATTGTTGCTATTTGGTCTGTACATGACCGGTCCTTACAGAATTCAACCTGTTGATCTCGATGTGTTTTTCATTCAGTTCGACAACACTCTGTTGAAACGTTTACTGGTACTGGTAACAGTGTGATGCCTTTGTAGTTCTCATACTTGCTCAGGTCTCCTTTCTTTGGTATCTTGGTGAGGTATCCTTCTTTCTATTCAATCGGTACTTGTCCTTCCTTCCAAGTTTTTCTGAATAGAATGTGGGACATTTTGGTAGTTACTTCTATGTCTGAATTCTGTGCTTCAGCTGATAATTTTTCTAATTCTTATGCTTTGGTACGCTTAGTTTTTCTGATGACCATACTGATTTATTCGATTGTCAGTTGGGCGAAATCTATAGGAAGGTTCATAGGTGCTGCTTCAATGTCAAGTGAGTTCAGTAGAGTTGGTCTATTCTAGAGTTCTTCAAAGTGTTCTGCTCACTTGTCCTATTGCTGTTGAATCTCAGTCGTTGGTCTTCCCTATTTTTTTTCTGACTGGTCGCTCTAGTTTACTTTACTGTCCATCTAGTTTCTTCTTTGTACCATATAGTTATCTCTTGAAGTTTCTTCTGACGTCATTGCTAGGCCTTTCACATATTTTTGCTTGTCAGCTCTAATGGTCCTATCTACTCGCTAGTTTATTTCGGTGTATTCGGCGTGTGTATTGGCTTTCTCTACTCTTGTTTGGCTTTTGTTTATTGTTATCTTCTTGTCTATCTTTCCTTCAATCTTGCACCAGTATGTCAATGAAGATCCATTCTTCATGACAGTGCTTTTTGCGGTCCAGTACCTTCTGACATTTTGAAGTTATTGTTTTTTAATCTATCACCAGTTATTCTCCATGGTAGTTTCCTCTTCTTCGATTAGATCTTGTAAGGCTTTAAACCTGCTGCAGAGAGCTATCTTGAATTCGTTGAGTTCCTCAGTATCTCGAAGGAAGGCTGTAACAAACTTATGTAATGTTTTTTCTACAGTTGTTCAGTGCTGCTGTAGCTTCAATTTCATCTTGGCAACCACCAGGTAGCGATATAAAGCGATGTCAGTTCCTCCCTTTGTTTTCACTTCATCCAAGGATCTTCCGAATTTTTCAGTGATGCAAATATGATCGATTTTGTTCTCTGTATTGTGATCTGGTGAGACCCATGTAGCTTTGTGAATGCGTTTATGGGGGAATATGGTTTCAACTATAACCGTTTTGTCGAACGCACATAAATTTGCAAACCACTCATCATTCTTGTTCCCTTTTTGCAGTTAGTCCATGTCGTCCCATGATATCTTCATACCCGTTGTTTTCCATCCCTATCTTAGTATTTAGCTTTCCCATCAGGATGGTCAGTTCCTTTCCTGAGTACTTCACTATGATCGATTTCAGCGTCTTATAAAACTGATCTTTATCCCCCACATCTTTGCTTTGAAGGATGCTTTGATGATTCCGGATCCATGATATTCCCATCCTATATGTGTTTTACGTGCTTCTTTGGACGGCATCAGAACAACTCCTCGAGTGATTGAAACATTTTCTTCTTCGTTGCCAGGGTACAGCAGCACCTCTCGTGTACTCGTCTTCATTATTGCTCTGGTTGTTAGAAGGGCCATCGGACTCGTGATTTCCTAAGATTTTCAGCCCTCACCATGTGACGTCATAACTCTTCTAAATCAACACTGTTTACTTTTTGGGGCAAAGTTTTATTGTTTAAAATGATTTTTACTGGTTATCGCTTTTAACAAGGTTTAACTCTAAGGAACCGGGTTGCTGACTACATACCTAACTTTTTTTCTTTCTTCGAACTGGGGACCGGTAGTAACCCTAGAAGGGCTACAGGCGGAGTTAAAAATGGCAATAAGTTTGGAATAGGTTATCCTGGGGTTTGAATAAGTTTTAATTTACCGTGCATTCTGTGCATACAACTCAAAAATTATATTATGAAAATCCAAGACCAGATTAATGACTATATCATTTGTTACACAACTCTTATCTTTAAAAAAGAGGTTTGGCCTACCGAAGGATAAATTTTGTCAAGGCACCTATTTCCATTTATCTAGTTTTTCTAATATAAATGCATACTTTTTAGCAGATAATTCAAAGCGATGATGGATATATCACTACTGACAATGAATGTTTGATGTTGAAACTTGAAGAGAAAGAAGGTCAAATAAAACGCTTACAGAGAATTATAGAGCATCAAAGAGAACTGTTTTTGAGGCAGTCAGAAGACACACAACGAGATGGTGATCGAAGAGTAGAATCAATTAAAGCTGATTATGAATGTACAATTAACCGAAATTACAAACTAATTGATGAATTAATTGAAGAGAAAAAATCGCTCCATACAAAATGTGAAGAACTTTTAGAAGAACTAAAGACAGTGACAAAGAAAACGAACGAAAAAATTAAAGCACTTGAAGAAAGGTTAGTTAGTAGCAGGTAATCTTTATTGTTATTTGGTTAGGATGATTTCTGATATGATGGGATAAAAAGGCAAAATCAAATTTTGACTCAGTAGCCCAAACTACTGGCCATACAACTGTCACTATGTATTAATCTTAAAAATGTCATTGGTAAAGTGTAGTCGGTTACTCGTAATCATAGAATTTTGCCTAACTATTTTGTTTTGATCATATAAGAACGATCTCAATTTGGTTATAATAAAACTACGAAACTGAACGGATGCAACTGTAAAACTAGTTCATGGACAATTAACTTCAGACGCAATCATGGCTGAACTGTCATCCAAAATACAGAAAACGTATATGAAATGAGAATGACAGTAATTTATCGATACAATTTGTAACAAACTAAAAAATAAAGATCTAAATGAAATTATTCGTGGCCTTAAAAACGGCTTTCTATCGGTCTCTTGGTTCCAACTCAACAATCATTTCTCTTCCATGGTTTTCCATACCCCCGTTCCCATATTTCCTCAACCATCAACTCATAAAAAAGTGAAAAAATGTTATATTCTCAGTTAGTAACTGAAATATGAACATACCATTGTGTCTGTGATGTCAAGTTTCCGTAAGTCCATGTGTTCCTGTGATAAGTAGGAGTATTTGAATTATGGTACAAACTAGGAATCCCAGAAATAACGGAATTTAATCAAGAAGTACTAGATGTGCACGAAAGAACTTATTGTATTTAGAATTTGAAATAAGGCAGTCATCAAGTACGAAGGAATTATTAGTTCATACAAACACTACAGTTCCATTACAATTCCTTAATTGCGCCACATAATAGACAATGGAATCCAGGTAATCGGTGTTGTGCGTCCGAACCACAAAACAAATGAAATATATCGTTGCAGCGACAAATAATCCAAGTTCTTCCTTTAACAGTTTTACGTGGTGGCTGAGTAAGATGGCATGCGTCACACAGTCTGTTGGCATGAACATCTTCGTCTATGTTGTTGTCCCTGTCATTGAATTCTTCCGAGGTTATTGAAACAACATCACCTTTTTCATGACTTAGTGTTACATGCAAATCCACTTTCGTTCGATAGTTGGTTCTATTTAATAGTTCGATTCTTCATTTATCGAAGTGGAGGTTTCGATATGAGGCTCAGGTGCTGCGGATAATGTCAATAGTGTTTGAGGCATCCGTCTGATTCCTATGTAAATGAGAGTCACGGACCCTACAATGTCAGTATGTCGCCCGTTCATAATTTTTGATAGCGCTCCTTAACTCTTCAAGCTACTGGAACGCTCGAAACAATACATCTTATACTTTGTAATTTGTTCACCTTTGGAGAAAATGTGATCACTTGAGGAATATTCACGTTTTATATTACTTTTCGGAAGGTAATAGCAAATAATAACCATTTTAAAACCAATCATTTCATTGGACGAAACGGGCTGAAAAAAGTTTCCAGATGGGATAAAAAAAATCTTCAATATGAAAAGTACAAAAATAACTGTGTGATAAATGATATTCACGATATTTTTGTATAAAATTAACGTTAACCATGCTCAGCATGATACGCAGCATGTTATTTGTTATAAAACTGTGTATTTTTCATATTGTGATGTGTGATATTGATGTCGACAGACATAAATAGGAAGTATCATCAGTTGAAAGTGAAATGCTTGGCGGCGAAAGGCTAAGACGATCAAAGACAAGAGTGTTATAACGTATGCCCTCTTAATACATAAACGTTCAATGATACATGAAATACGTACGAGCAGTCTTGGGTGCTATTCGGTCCTTCCTATCTGCCTAGCCCAGCCCGTTAAGTCAGAACACAAATAACAGCCTCAGCAGTATGAATCATTATTTACAAGCATACTGGGTTATATATACTAACCAAACAGACCACATATATCAAAAATAGAAAAATAACATTTGTACAATAATTGGCCAATGTGGCTGTAGCTAGGGGGGAAGTAATCAATAATAATAGTTCCAAGGTCAAAATAAAGGTTATGATAAGAGGAACACGGAAACGATTAGGTCACTTATTTAACAACTATCCAATAGGAATATAAATGGATTAATAGTCTAATAAGAGGTCCCGTAAGTTATCAGTACTTACTTTTTCCTAGTATATAACACCTCCCCCTTTTTTGAAGCATCATGGATAATAGCGATCCTTGGGATTTATTTTTATACGATTAGGTTCCCGCCTGATGCGCTGCGACCGCCTTGGGAGTGTTGTACACGTCTTCTTTTTATTCGGGTCCTTTTTAATTTCATTATCCGACTCGGTTAATATATTTAATGGTATATCATGCTTTCTATCACTTTCTATCTCCCACTCCTGTCTGGTCGGCTGTATCTGGTTTGCATGTCGTACCCAAATCTTCTGTCCAACTTTCACTTCATAAATAACTTTCCCTTTTCTTCGGACTATGATGCCAAATTTCCAGGTTGGCTTTACTCCCTGGAAATCTCTTGCCATTACTGCTTGTCCTACATTAAACCTTCTGGGTAAGGCACCATGCCTTTTGTTAAATTGCAGTTCCATTCGTTTATTCTTGCATTGAATGATTTCAGGTTTTGGCTTCATTTGTTCCATAGGTATTCTAATCTTTCTTCCAAAAATTACTTCTGCCGGGCTTTCTTGATTATTTGTTGCTGGGTTGGGAGTTGCGCGGTAGCTTAGTAAAAATCGTTGAATTATATCTTCTATTTCTCCTTCCCCTTCGGCTTTAAGCAATGCTCTTTTAAAAGTGTCCACGAACCTTTCGACTAAGCCGTTAGACTGTGGATGGTATGGGGGTGTCTTGATATGCCTAATGGCATTGGCAATGCAGAACCTCGAAAATTCAGCAGATGTAAACTGTGGTCCATTGTCTGACACCAATATATCTGGACACCCAAAACAACTGAATACTTGCCTCAGTTTCTTCACTGTAGCTTGTGTTGAGACATATTTCATATAGTGGACTTCTGGCCACTTAGAGAAAGCATCAATGATTATCAAGAACTGTTTACCGTTTATAGGACCAGCAAAATCTACATGAACTCTTGACCACGGATTTGATGGTGTTCCCCAACTCTGCACTTCGGTCTTGCGAGGGGCTTTCATGGCTTTTGCACATGCTGAACATTTCGCAACATATTCTTCAATCTGCGCATCAATATTCGGCCAATATACATAACCGCGTGCAAGTGCTTTCATCCGCGCTACCCCTGGGTGTGCAGCGTGCAGTTCTAACATCACCTTCCGGCGTAGGCTTGTGGGTACAATAACTCGATTTCCAAACATTAGGCACCCGTCCACAAGCGATAAAGAATTTCGTCGGTGAGCATACTGTTCAATATTTTTGTTGTCTATATGAGAAGACCAACCATGTTCAAGGTAACTTATAATCCGTTTCAGCTCGCCATCTTCTTGAGTGTAGCGTCTAATATCTTCAGCGGATAATGGTGTTGCTTTTATAGCAACTTGTAGTATTTGGTGGATATCTTCTTCCAATGATGTCGTTGCAATAATAGAATCTTCGCTTTCCTGCTTCTGATTCGCAATTAATCGAGATAAAACATCAGCTTGTCCAAACTTTTCAGTTGATTTATATAGAATTCGGAAATCATAAGCGAGTAGTGTAATAGCCCAGCGTTGTAATCGATTAGCTGTATATGCAGGAATGCCTGACTTCGATCCAAATATAGATAAAAGCGGCTTGTGATCTGTTAGAAGAGTAAATCGACGTCCATAAATCATTTTATGAAATTTCTTTACTGCAAAAACTATAGCTAATCCTTCTTTTTCAATTTGACTATATTTTCGTTCAGCTGGGTTAAGTGTTCGGGATACATGAGCAATCGGCTTTTCTTTACCATCAGGAAAACGATGGCTGATAACAGCCCCAATTCCATAGTTGGAAGCATCAGCGGCAACAATTATTTCAAGCTTAGGATTGTAATGAGTCAACAATAATTTAGAAGATAAAATCCTTTTTATTTCGTCGAAAGAATATTGGCATTCTTTTGTCCAGTACCATTTTGCACTAGCCATCAAAAGTTGATTTAACGGGTGTCTCAATTTATACATCTGGGGTACGAACACACTATAATATCCAATCATCCCCAAGAATGAACGGAGAGTTGTAACATCAGTTGGTGTGGGCATATTTTTGATGGCATTTATATTATCTGGATCTGGCCGGCGACCATCTTTATCAAATATATATCCAAGATATTTAACAGAATCTAGCATAAATTGACACTTTTCTTTTTGTAATTGAAAACCAGCTTGCGATATTCTATTAAACACTACGTCTAACCGACTCATTAGTTCGTGGGCAGAAGAGGCAACAACTATAATATCGTCCAAATAAACTGCTACACCTTCAAGGTTAGACAACATGGTATTCATAATCTGTTGGAAAATTGCTGGAGCTGGTTTTACGCCAAAAGGTAATCGGCTAAACTGGTAAAGTCCACGGTGGGTATTAATGGTTAATAACTCCCTCGAATCTTCGTCAACTTCTGCTTGTAAGTAAGCTTCAGATAGATCGAGTTTGGAAAAGTAACGTCCACCGTTTAGTTTAATAAATAAATCTTCTGGCAAGGGAAGTGGATATGAGTGATTTTGTAAAGCATCGTTTAATCCTGTTGAAAAGTCTGCACACAAGCGAATAGTTCCGTTTGCTTTCTGCACTACTACTATTGGTGCTGCCCATGCTGAATAATTAACCGGTTGTATAACACCCAGTTTCTCTAATCGATCTAATTCCTTGTCAACTTTATCGGTGGCTGCATACGGGACTTGGCGTTTTGGACAAAAAACAGGTTTTACGTCCTGTCGTAAATATAACTTTGCCTTTCCAATGGTACAGCATCCCAATTTATTCTGGAACAACTTCTTGTGTTTCTGTAAGAGGTCTTCTATCGTTATGGCTTTCTTAGCTACATGAACCATGGGTAGATCTCTGGGACTATTTGTGCACTTCATCATGCATATTTCACTCAAT